ATCTCGGGTGTTTGACACTATCTGAGTTACCACTCTAGAATAATTTGCTTCTTTGTTTCCAGTTTTTTCATTTCTATAACTTCATATTTTGATAATTTTGAGCACAGCACTTACTGTTAGAGTGAGTGCTCTTTTGTCTTGGAGCAATGTCTTTATCGGGGCATGACAGTTAATAAATGTCAGCCTCTATCTTTTTTTTTTTTTTTGCTACATAAACTGTCTTAAAGCTTTATATATGAAACAGCTTTGTCCAGAAAGCCAAGTATTGGTGCTCACATTTTGCTTTTGTTGAAACTTATACTGTAAGATAGGAACAAATGTGTTATGGTTTGGATGTGAGGTGTCTCCCAAAAGCTGACATGTAAGACAATGCAAGGAGTTCAGAGTAAAAACGATTGGGTTGTAAGAGTCTTAACTCATTCAGTGTTGTAATCCCCTGATAGGGATTAACTGAAGTGGTAGGGTATGGCTGAAGGAGGTGGGAACTGGGGCCTGGCTTGTGATGTATATTTGTATCTGGCAAGTGGAGTCTCTCTCTGCTCCCTGATCACCATGATGTGAGCTTCTTCCCTCCACCACTCTCTCCCGCCATGATGTTCAGCCTTACCTCCAGCCCTGAGGAAGGAGCCAGCCTTCTATGGACTAAGACCTCTGAAACTGTGAGCCCTCAAATAAATTCTTCCTCCTCTAACATTGTGCAGGTTGGGTCCTTTAGTCACAGCAGCAAAAAAAGCTGACTAAAACAACATGTATGACAGGGAAGGGTAAAAACATAATTTTCTTAAGTTTAGTCTCACAAGCAGAACAGGGATGGGTGGACCAAGGGTTTTGAGATAGACCGATAGAGTGTGGGGAAGAAGTGAGAGGCAAGAATGACCTTGTGCTCTCAGAAATGTACAGGGTAGAAGGCAAGAATAACTGCCTATGGCAGGTGGGATTTGCCTCTATAACTCAAGTGATGAATTACAGTATGAGAGAAAAATGACAGAAGACAAAATTCAGTTCTTTCAACCATGGCACTTTTGGCATAGTAGGAAGACTGTGCTGTGCATTGTAGGGTGTTTAGCAGCTCCCAGCTACCCACTAGATTCGAGTAGCACAGACATTGCCTGCGGAATAAAAATCATTTGAGAATCACTGGAGAAAGTAAATAATAATCAGATTTTTTTCTTGTATTTTTCAATTAGCATTATTAGTGGGTTGTTATTTAAAAACCAGTGTTTGTTTACTGAGGCACACTATGTGCCAGGCACTGGCATTTTCATTCATTTATTCCTTAGCAAATATTTGAGTGTCTATAGGAATAAAATTTATAATGTGGATAAAACACTGGCAAAATTGCATCCTATGGAGCTTTCATTCCAATGGAAAAATAGCTGTGTTAAAAAGAACTACACAAATATAAAATTGCAAGTTTAGTAAGTGATATGGAAAGGAGGTATGTTAGTCAGTTTTCCATTACTGTAACAAATACCTGAGAAAATCAACTTAAAAAAAGAAAAGGTTTATTTTGGTTCACAGTTCGGAGGTTTCAGTCCATAGTTAGCTGGCCCTGTTGCTTTTGGGACGGTTGCAAGTAATATCATCTTGGAGGGGAACACATGGAGGAGAAAAGCCATTCATTTACTGGCACAGAATGAAAAAGATAATAAGGGGCTGGAGTCCCAGATTCCCTTGGAGGGCATGCCCCCAATGACCTAAGATCTCCCATGAGGTCCCATTTCTTAAAAGTTCCACTACCACCTAATAGCACCAAGCTGGGGACAAGCCTCTAACACATTGGTCTTTGTGGGACATTCTGGATCCAGACTATAGCAGGAGATCTTTGAGGACTTTCCAGTGCTTCATGTGACCTGGATTTTGAAGCAGGAGAGAAAATAGAGGACTGACATAAAGCTTGTGTGTCTGGAGGGAGAAAGTATTAGGAAGGAGGGTGCAAAAGAAGATGGGTGAGGAGGGCATTATCACACTGTTCTGAAGCTTGAAGGCTACACTAAAGAGATTCACCTTTACCCCCAAAATAATAAGACCCACCACAGGGTTTTAGGTAGAAGAAGAACACTCTTAGTTGTCCCCATTCTCATATTTCATATTTTAAACAACCTAATGAATAAATGAACCTTATTGTTTCCTTGAGGACCTAGGAAGAGGACCTGGAGCAAAGGCAAATGCTTTGCTTCCAAATTGGAAAGTGGCAGAGCTGAGACCTCATTCAAGGTTTTCCCTTTCTAAAGTTCATTCTCTTAACCTCAACACCATGCAGCACCTTCCTCCTAGGGCTGGGGGCCAGGTGAGGTATATGAGCACAGGCAGGTCACTGAGCCCCTTCATGGTAGCTGATGAGTTGGGTTTGAGGTCTGGAAATTCTGCCCAATGCCTTTGGATCTCAGTGTGTGGATACTAATCAGACTTTATTTCCATGCATCTCAACGATCATTCTGTAACTCTGGAATTTTCTAGATTGTTTTTCTTTCACTCTGACTACAATTTACCCTTTTACCCTGCCCACCCTCCGACCCTGAAATTCTGCCCTGGGACACTGTACACGTGGCCTCTGATAAGAATCACTCCATTCAGAGTAGCTGGCAGGTAGGTGTTCTATTTGCTCAGCCCTGCGTGAAGGTGTCCACTCCCCTGTCCTCCCTGCCATGGAGCTGAAGCTGTGTGGTTGGCTTTCTTCTATTCTTTTGGAGATAAAGTATTTTCCCCTTCCAGGTAAACTTCACACTAGTGTTCATTTAAATATTAATTTGCAGTTGCACAATCCCTCCTGTGATATTACCCGTCCTGTGGGGATTAGGCTGATCAAGTCTTCCCGCTCATTTTAATCACACATTTCAGCAATGCTGAAACTTGTGGTGGAGTTGGATTTTTCCTTTCACACCATCCAAAATGCTCTGCAGAGCTAACCAAATTGAAATGAGCCCCTTCATCTTACACACAGATAATTAAACTTCAAATAATGTTTATCTCAGTCCCCAAATCCTCAGAACGCAGAAGCAAATTAATTTTAAATCTATATCTGCTTTAAATAGTAATTGTTTAATCAACAGGCTTGATGTATAATTATATTCTTTGTTCATACTCCTTGCAGGCTTGAATAGACCACATAATTCCTGGGTTGCTTTCATTTCTGTAATTAGATCATGTGACAGATCCTTGCTATATTACAGTTGACTATAGTTGCTTCTCTCCCTCCCTCTTTTAAATTTGAAAATGGTTTCTCATGAATACTTAGATTATAACAGCCCTGTTTAACAGGAGCACTGAGTGTTTAGCTTTAATCCTTATTCTTCTTTCAACTAATAATTTACACAGGAGCAAATTATTTTACTTCATCTGTTCAGAGCTAAGCGTTCTTGTCCTTCTTTTGAACTCCTGTTTTTCCAAAAGAAAACCCTTCCTGATCACATGGAAACACACAGAAACCTCTAGAAGTTAGTATTATCCTGATAGAAGTGATATTTAAGGTTCAAGCCAAACAAACAAACAAAAATCACATACTGGGGTTTTGTTTTCTGACCATCTGGGGCTTCATGGAGAAAGAGGAAGTAATTTTGCTTATCCCAAAGAGCAGTTTCATCTCCAGGAATTTATTTTACTTGCCTGGATTCTTCCCATCAAAATGAGAACTGGATACTCCATAAGTAGGCCAACACTGAGATCTAGCATCTATGTGGAATTTATTTGCCCCACACAATATGCCTTGACTTTCTCTGGGTCTGTGCTAGAAATATGGCTGCTCAGCCAAGCTGGCTCTTCTCACTTCCTTTACTGTTGTGTTCTCCAGCTCCTTATCATTCAGATTCAATTTCCTTACATTCTTAGTATTTTCTTTATTTTTATTATCGAGGTATACAAAGTTGGATAAGGCTCTGCTGATTTTGGATTAATCGATATTATATAAATTGGAGGGAATGATTAGATGTTGGAGAGAAGAGAAAAAAAAAACACCATAATTTAAAACAACAGCATTGACTATCTAAACTTAAAGATCTTAATAATCAGGCTCTTTTCTTCCATCATATTTCTAAATTATGTTTAAGTTTGCACTGTCACTCCTCAGTCATCTTCACTTATTTTCTTTCCTACCCATGGAGTATCTGTGTTTCTGATGATTTCTTTTTATCCATGCAACTGTGCATTTTTTCAGGCAGTATTTCATTTTGCTATTTTGATTCAACTATGTATTTTTATGAGTTTCATCATCATATCCTGTCCATACTCTAACTGCCAGGGTTTTAAAAAATTATTAGTATTTCCTTATTCTTTTGGGTATTTGCAACACTTCCCAGTTTACATCTGTGGGATAAATTTCTGACTTTGTTATTCACTTTTCCAGATCACCCAGGAAATGCTGAATTAAATGTGACATGTTATATTCACAGATTCATAATTATCCTGTATTAAGAGATGATAATATGATTTTTTTTTTTGTTGAAGAATTCTGATCCACATTTCTCTCCTCTTTACTAGGAGACCAATCTTTATGTAGCTTGCAATTATGTATTTTCTAAGATTTAGAGTCATATGTAATCACACAAAAATAATCTGAGATTTGTTTTGATTTAGGTGCTATGTCAGTTTAGGGTTACTCAGGAAATACAAACACTTCTGGTGTTTCTATAATTATTATATTTATTATATAATATAAATATATAAATATATTTATATAATTATTATACTATATTATTATTATATTATATTCTATGAATATAATACAAGTGCCTAGTATTAGCACACAGCTAAAACTGAGAAGCCAAAAAAGAGATGGTGAGTGCCCCACAGATTGGCAATGGCTGGAAGTTGTTCCACCCTAAGACTGGTGCATCACAGGTGGGGAAGGTAGTATGAGAAGCCAGAGTTGGGACTCCTGGACAGAGCTGTGGGCTGGGTACACAAAGGATGGGATGCCTTTTGAAACTGGAATTTCCAGAAAAAATAGCACTGTCCAAGATGCCCCAGGGCAGGGAGAGGAAAGAATGAAATTCTCAGCTTACCTTCTTCCACCATCAATCTTCTAGCCTCCTATTGGCTGATTCTTCATGGAAGCCCCCTGGCCAGAGATCCAATTCTTGTGTGTACAGAGCAGGGAATGTACAGAGAGTGGAGCTGAGAGCAAAGGGCTGAGAGACCAATCCAGATGTGATCAGGTATACCACATAGCCTGGAATATAGTCCTTCACACAGTCTGTTCAGTGAACTTGCAGATTCACGACTAGCTGTCACCTGCCTCTGTATCTACTCTGACTACCACCTATGGAGTGGTCTTCTGAAAATTCCATTTTTCCTTTTGCTCAGTGATCTCTATTTTCTTCCCATCAAAACTCTCCAGAACTTTCCTCATCTGTAGTCCCTTGCCAACTCAGATCTAGATTTAGTAAACATTTGTCTTGGTGCAACTCTTTACCAGAGGAAAGGCAGGAGACAAGATAAACCAGTATTAGATGACCACCTATTATGCTAGAGGCTATACTGGGAACTTGGTATAGTTTCTCTTACCATGTAATTCTCAGATATTAGTCTCATTTTTTTTTGGTGGGATAATGAGACTTGGCAAGAGAAAGTAACTATCTCAAGGTTACAAAGTCTGGCTGGAATTGGAGCCAGGTCCATTTGACACTAAACCTTATTTCCACTATGTCCACCATGTCACCCTCCTGGCTTCATTAGTGCTCAGAGAAAATAAGTGACTTATTAAAGGTCACTTGGTTGGTAAGTGACACAAAATTTCCCTTGTAGTCATATTTGAGGAAGATTCCACTCACTTCTATTCAATTTAATTTTTGCTTTCTGCCTGATACTCTTCTACCTGGAAATCCCACATCATGCTTTTGTTTCTTTGAGCTTCTGTGGAATTTCCACCATTTCTATGTAGATGGTGTCATTGCATCACTAAACACTTCATATAAAGGAAATAAATTCTGTTACATTGTAATAGGAATAACAATAACAATTCTCTCTTGCATTTTCTCTTTATAAAATCCCATGCTAGTGACATAGTTTACTTTGAATGACTTATTGCCAAGTGTTCTCAAGGATGTGATAAGCACCTTGCATTCTGAAGGGAATTCCCCTGAATGTGCTGGGGAATGCTGTAGAATGCAGATTTTGATATGGCAGGTCTGGGTGAGTTCTGTTTTTTTTTTTTTTTCTCTCCCTCTACCAAGCTCCTGCTGATGCTGTGAGTCCAGGCATCACGCTTTGAAAAGTGAGCCTAGAGCACAGGGTTTCACATTGAAGACAGCTGAAAACCCACCAACCACCTTCATCACAATGGACCTGAGAAATCCACAGTTGTGATATATTTGAATCTAGGGAACTGAAAACAATCGGCAGATCAAGTCAAGGGTGTTAATGTTGGAAGGCAAGAAACAAGGAGTAATATATTATTATTGCTGTAAATTAAGTGGGGTCACTAAGTTTTGCACGGTCAAGATATGTTTTCCTTTCAAGTGTAGTTCTTACAGTGTCTTGCATTTTAACATTTTATTTGAGGGAAGGATGACTGCAGAAATGTGAGCACTGATGGATGGCCTCTGAGTTGTCCTTGGAAGGGAGAAAAAGAAGGTGTTCTTCGGCTCTGCTCTGACTTGGTGATGGTCTCTACAGAGGATAAGGCAGGTTTTCTGGATGTTGACTTGGGGAATATATTGGAAGATGCCTTTGATGTACTGTGATGGCTCAAGTTTCTTGTTCACTTTTGCTGGAATGAAAAGCAAAGAAATTGTTCCTAAGAGAGGAAGGAATATGACTGATTATGTATCCATCACTCCCCACCTGGCACCCCACGAATGCAATGTGTTTCGATGGCCAGTATACTGGGGAATGGAGCTTAGTGAGGGTTCCCCACTCAGTCACCTCCTCTAACCAAGTGTTTGAATAGATTTATAAATTTCCCTGGCCATGGAGATGGACGGCAGTGCTGCTGGTCTTTCAGGGTCATGGGATAGAGGGCTCTGAGCCCACTGTTCACCTCCTCTCAAGGATTCCTGGGGAAGAATGGAAAGATAGATGATATTTCTTTTTCCACCTATTCCCCTGGGTCTCAGGAAAGTCTGCTATGATGCCTCCTTGATTATCAGAATCCAACAGAATATTTTAATGGGAATCCGACTTTACCTGAGGTACTGGCTGGAATCAATCTTTTTTTCCATTTTCAAAAATCAATTCTGTATTTCCTATAATTCAATCTCCTTGTCTCCCTTCCAAATCCCTGTTGCTGATGAAAAAAAAAATCATTACAGCCTTTGTCAGACATTTAACTATCTATTATCCAGACCATCTGCTACAGATTTTTTAGAGTTTTATTTTAGGATTTTAATGAAGTTTTTTATTTGTTCATTTAATATCTTTTACACTAACCATTACTTCAAAGACTCAGCTCAGATTTCTTCTAACCATCTGGAAGAGCATTGGATCAATCTCATGTACATTGTTGATTTTGGAATGGGATCAGAATTTTTTTTAAAGATTTATACAATTTTCCCTCATTGATCATGTTCCAGAATGTCCTAGCCCATTGCTTAAATTTTATTCACAATATGGTATTCCCCAGCTACAGGAATCTAGTGACTTTTATTGATCTTGATATTTTGGGATAGTTATGTTTGAAAGATATTGGGATGATAGGGTGGGGGCAGAAAGAATTAATCCTGATAGATAGAATAGTAATTATATACTACTACTACTAAGCTCTTTTCTAATCAATTAATTTTTAGGAATTTCTGATTTTGAATTTGGGTAAGTACGTTGCTTCTCCACTTTCTCCTAGAAAAAACTAAGTCCCTCAAGCATAAATATCTTGTGTTTTTATCTGTGTATTTAGTACTTGACCATAATTACTCAATAAATACCAGATCAATGAATTAATGAATGATTGTCTGATTGGCATATATTAGGGTCCAGCAATAGAAGCCCTTTTGAATTCTGCAAAGATGTGATTGGGAGGAATAGGGTAATTTTTTTCCTTCATAAAAGAAAGCCAGTTTCCCTAAAATTAATATTTTTGATTATTTCCTGGTTTGTTCCTCCCCATTTATTTACAAGCATAGCCACTCCATTTCTGTGTGGAGAGGTTCTGTATGGAATCCCAGTCTTGATTTATCATTTCTGTATCTGGTGAAACATCTCACCCTGAAGGCAGAGGAAACTGCAAAAGGAGACAGTGCCACAGAAAGGACGTGGACTTTGGAGTTGGGTGGAAGTGGGTTTGAGTGCTGGCCTTACTTCCCAGGGAGGGGACCTTGAACATCCTACTAGTGCCAACTCTGTAAAATGAGGATGATAGTGAGGAACAGATGGGATAATACATTGGATTATAGTCAGGCCTCCAAAGCCTTGCCTGGCCCCGTCTTCATTCATCTCACCACTCTCTCCTTGCTCTCTAAGTTTTACCTACTCTGCCTTTTTTCAGTTTTTCTGGAGCTCTGAGCTCCTGTGAGTTTCCTATAGGGCCTTTGCACATTTCCCTGTTTCATCCCCAGTCTTTGGGTAATTCTTATTCATGCTTTTAAGCTCAGCTAGAGCATCACTTCCTCAAGAGAATCTGACCTCCTCCAATGAAGTGACATTCCCCAGAAGGTGCACCTTGAACTTCATGAGTCTGCCCATAATTCATGTCCATAATAATTGTGTAATTGGTCATTCAATTCTTCCTACCCTTTCCATCCACAAGTATGGAAGCTCTGTGAGGGCAGAGACCATGCCTGTCTTCCTCATCTTTGTGTCTGTAATATTTAGCAAACTGTCTGGCACAAAGCAGGAGCTTAATAACAGATGTTGGATGAATGCAAGTAATTAATAAAATCCATACACACTTAGGTACTCAGTGTTTATGTCCATCCCAACCTCTGAACTGCTATTTTTTTTTTTTTGAAGTTTTACATGGTGGGTGGGAAGTAAGAAAAATGAAAAGGGATCATGGCTTTTTATTTTAAATATTTATATTTTAATTGTAATTGAACACAAAAACCTTTGTTTTATTTTTAAGTGGTGCTGAGGATTGAAACCAGGGCCTCACACGTGCTAGGTGAATATTTTACCTCTGAGCCATAACTCCAGCCCTGGAGTCAGGGTTTGAATGGGTGCCTCCTGACCTCCTTTAGCTGTCTCAAAATTCCTTCCTTGGTCATTTGAATCTCTAAGTCCATGACTCTGAAACCTCACCCTGCACTGGAGTTACCAGAGTTACTTTGAAATCTGCAGATAAAATTGTAATCATTGTAGGCTGAGTCCTGTTCATTGGCATCTTTAAAATGCTTCCCAGGTGATTCTAACATGTAGCCAAGATTGAAAACCACTGCTTTGAGTGAGTAATTATTTTGAAAATACTTGTTAAAATTTATGAATATCTTTGACTATGAAAGTCATTGTGGTCTTTTGGAGCAGGTGAAGCACCTTAGCATCTACCAGTACTTTTGTGCGGATTGAACAGAGTGTCCATCAGAGAAAAGGAGGGAAGAGGGAATAATCGTAAGTGTGATAAATGCCCTGAATGTGCACAAGCCTCGGTGGGTGGGGGGGTATGATCAGCTGGAGTCCTACAGAGGCAAACCTCTTCTTCCCAGCCTTGCTCAGGGAAGTCTTTGTCTAAATATACTGGAGTTCTTCTTATTTCCATGCAGTTATGAATATCACAGGGCTAGTCCTGGACGTACCTCTTCCTCAATGAAAAGTGCTGGAATGGGCTTCTAGTGTGGGACACTGCCTCTGGAAGGTGCTATAGAGGGGAGTGGTTTGAATATGTTATGGCAGAGGATTTGAAAACCAGTTGGCAGAGATTAGACTCTACAAAGAATGAATTTGTAGAGTCCAAAATGGAAAATGGAAAAAAATAGAATAATAATTCAGGTCATCATAACTCTCTGGTGCTACAGAAATGCTAAGTCTTAGTATATGTTAAAGCAGGGGTTGGTGAACTGGGGCTTATAGGCCAAATCCTTCCCACTACCTGTTTTTTTATAACTTGTGAGCTAAGAATGGTTTTATGTTTTCAAGTGCCTGAAAAAATAATCAAAAGAAGAATAAAAATCACATGAAATTCAAATTTCAGTGTTCATAAATAAAACATTGTTGGCTCACCAATGCGCCCGTTCGTGTATGCATTGCTATGAAGGCTGCTTTCATTCTATGAGGCCAGAGTTGAGTAGGTCCAACAGACTATGCAGAAAATGTTTGCAGAAGAAATTCGCTAACTTCTAGGTTAAAGAATCAGATAAAGATCTGACCAAAGCGTTAACCACAGATGGAAAAGGGGGGTGGGGAGAGACAGAGAAATGAGGAAAAATACCAGGCTTATAAGTATCAGATACTTTATCTACATTACCATATGGATCCTCTCAGCAAGCCTGAGGTAGGGTCAGGGTCCTGGCAAAGCACAGACTCACATTCAAATTAAGTTAGTTGAAACAGATAAATAAGTGGACTCTTTATATATGAGAGCAGTTGTAGGGATCCATAAAAAATAGTGCAATGTCCTTGAGTTAATAACAAAGAAGCTGACCACCTCTAAGCATGGAGGGTTGAGGAAAAAGTAGAGTTTCCAGAATAAAAAAGGAAAGAGTTATGGATACGGGGTCACCCTGAGAGCCACAGTGACCTTCAGTTGAGGGATCTAGATGAGCAGATAGGATCCTTGGGAAGCTAGCCATAGTCATAAATACCCTACCTTTGCCCTGCCCTTCCTCCAGTCTCCTGCTGGGAAGGAGCCTGCTGGACTCAACCAGAAG